ATTATTAATTTTAATACCAACTATTATATGATTCAATAAAAAATATAATTATTACTTAATTAATATTAAATATAAAGGGTTTAGTCCTTTAACCTAAAAAAAGTGCAATGGAATATTTCATCGTTAATGAGATATGGTGGATTAATATCTCATGGATTAAATTTATTAGGTTTTACTTATTATGTTTTATTTTATGATTCACACATAGGTAAAATTTATTAAATTTTATTTAATGACTTACTAGAAATTATATATCATGTCCAGGATCAAATTATCACTCATTAATTAATTACTTCATATAAACAAATTAAATGACTTGTTAAATCATACACGGACACGAGCGGCTAACTGGCGAGAAAACATTGTTTAACAGCTATTCACTGCCAAATAGTTACAGTGGTGCATGATTTTAATAGTATGGAACTTTGGGGTCTCTTTCAAGAGTTACATTTGGATTGGGCATGAGTCTCGTCAAGTTCTTGTCGAGGTTGATAGTCAATGCGTGACGAGAATAGTGCTTAGCTCCGAAGGTACTTTTGGAAGTCATGGCGCATTGGGTGCTTGCGTTAATACGATTGCATCGACATTTGTTGATAAATGTGGATCATTTCTTGATCTCTTTTTACAAAGAGTATTCTTTTGCATTTTTGGTATAAATCAATTAAAAACAAATATACTCGATGCCCCTTATAAGGATCGGAGTATGGTTATTTATACACAAAAAAAAGTAGAAATATCCGTGTACACGTGTGATTTACTTATTACAAGTAAATATTGTTATAAAAAATGTTTTTGTGTTTTTTTTCAGGTGACAAAAATGAAATTCGTCACTTTACCTAATAAATTATGACAAAAACTAACGTGTGATATAAAAAAAATGTCAGAAGATATAGAATTTCTAGTAAAGAACTAAAATCTCATCGAACAAAAAAAATTTGTGTCTAATTTATTGCTCTATATCTCTATGATCTGGTAAAAAAAAAATAAATAAAAAAAACAACCAAAGCATTAATCTCACCAATGTATCTATATATATATTAAACTGAAGCAGCTGGAAAAAAATTTGTTTTCCCTCCCATTTTATATTAAATGTTACTCATTAATGGTATGATAAAATCAATAAATATTGTCTAAAAATTAAAAGTCTTATTGGAATTGTGTATAATAGATAATAATATTATTGGGAATGTTGAATAAGTTGATAATTGTTTAGAATGTTGTGCTAATTCTACACATCTCTATACAACTAATAATTAGATCAAACAAAAAAAACATAATGATTAATGTCAAATTTTCTATTAATTGTCCTCAATGGACTATTTCTTTAAATTTTTAAACATTCCACTTTGGATATTTTAAATTATAAAACTATATTATGTTTTCATTATAAAACCACAATATAAGAGCCTAATGTAGTCTTAATTTAGTTATACATGTTTCACAATTGTGGGTCATTTTGAAATTGTAAATTCGTAACCACATAATATAAAACCTAACATATATTTAATTATAATAATGCGGTAAAATAAAAGTTTATAGAATTTAAAAGATTAAAAGACATCATTTTTATAGGATGTCTTTATGTTTAATTCATTGAGTAAAATTTTCACTGCAAAAAATCATAAAAACTAAACAGAAAATTATAACATATTAACAATTATTCTCAAAATTAAAAGTATATACATATCTATACAATTGAATTATCAATAAAAAATATTTTTCTTTCAATACTTTATTTATGTTTATGAGATCGACATATTTGTATTGAAACATATTATACATATAAACAAAAATAGAAAGAAGATACAAAGAGAAAGCAATGACAAAAATAATAAAGTTAAATTTTACATGTAGTTAAATTAAAAGAGACATAATGTTCAAAATAAAAAAAAAAATGCATCTATAGGTTTTTTTGGGTCAAGGTGTAAACCAAGTGAAAATAGGTCTAAAAAATTGCGGATAACCTACTTGGGAAGTAAAATTATTTAGATTTAGGTTTCA